GTTATGAAGTGAACAGTTGAAGTAGGGACACACTGCAGCAAATGGAAAGGGCGTTATGAAGTGAACAGTTGAAGTGAGGGGCACACTGCAGCAAAGCTGAAGGCCGTTACGAAGTGAACAGTTGAAGTAGGGACACATTGGAGCAAAAGGAAAGGGCGTTATGAAGTGAACAGTTGAAGTAGGGACACACTGCAGCAAATGGAAAGGGCGTTATGAAGTGAACAGTTGAAGTGAGGGGCACACTGCAGCAAAGCTGAAGGCCGTTACGAAGTGAACAGTTGAAGTAGGGACACATTGGAGCAAAAGGAAAGGGCGTTATGAAGTGAACAGTTGAAGTAGGGACACACTGCAGCAAATGGAAAGAGCGTTATGAAGTGAACAGTTGAAGTGAGGGGCACACTGCAGCAAAGGTGAAGGCCGTTACGAAGTGAACAGTTGAAGATAATGCAACTTTAGTCACACTAAAATAATTTAGTTGTACGTATGTGTTTTTTTTCCCCTTTGGCACTTTGTCGTTTAGAGTATCCTTATTTGTATTTCTCAACCCTTTAATGATTTATAATGCATGTTTCTTTATGTTATACTTTGTTTGATGAATTATTAGATTTTTACATGAACTGTCTAAACAGTTTTCTTCCCAAATTTAGCACTGCCTGCATCACGTCAGCTAACACTGCCTAGAAGAGACAAGAGATACGCTATTATGAAGTTAGATCCAGGGTCGTCAACTCAGTAAACATAAAATGTACCGACACATATTTTAAACTTCAAACTTTGCACGGACACACATATTTGTGTGGGCACATGCTTAACATATACATTGATGAAAACAGTGGAGGTAAGCTGCAGTAAAGACATCAGTCCCGTGTGGCTATATCTATGTCTCTATCACGTAAGCCTCATCTATGTCTCCCTCATGAAGGCCTCATCTATGTCTCCATCATGTAGGCCTCATCTATGTCTCCATCATGTAGGCCTCATCTATGTCTCCATCATGTAGGCCTCATCTATGTCTCCATCATGTAGGCCTCATCTATGTCTCCACCATGTAGGCCTCATCTATGTCTCCATCATGAAGGCCTCATCTATGTCTCCCTCATGTAGGCCTCATCTATGTCTCCATCATGTAGGCCTCATCTATGTCTCCCTCATGAAGGCCTCATCTATGTCTCCCTCATGTAGGCCTCATCTATGTCTCCCTCATGAAGGCCTCACCTATGTCTCCCTCATGAACGCCTCATCTATGTCTCCCTCATGAAGGCCTCATCTATGTCTCCCTCATGTAGGCCTCATCTATGTCTCCATCATGTAGGCCTCATCTATGTCTCCCTCATGAAGGCCTCATCTATGTCTCCATCATGTAGGCATTATAAGAGGCAGTCCATAAAGTCCATCACGCTTTGTTTGGGACAATTTTAGGTTAATTTTTTTACGGTCAAGTCATTTTAGATCAATTTTTATGGACAAGTCATTTTAGATCAATTTTTTATGGACAAGCCATTTTAGATCAATTTTTTTATGGACAAGACATTTTAGATCAATTTTTTATGGACAAGACATTTTAGATCAATTTTTTTTTATGGACAAGACATTTTAGATCAATTTTTTTATGGACAAGACATTTTAGATCAATTTTTTTTATGGACAAGTCATTTTAGATCAATTTTTTTATGGACAAGACATTTTAGATCAATTTTTTTATGGACAAGACATTTTAGATCAATTTTTTTTATGGACAAGTCATTTTAGA